CCACTTTCCCTCCCAGGCTCCGGGAACCCTTTAACGCAGCACGGGTTCCTATCTCCCTGGAACACAGAACGCCTGGGCCAACTTGGGCGACACCCCGCCGCACTAGCCAGTACACTCCCGGGGGAGGATGGAGCTGGATTCCCGAAAACTCAACCTTCCATCCATACTCACTCTGGCGGGGTCGAATTGGAAAGGAAGAGCGCGAGGGATTGTGGGAGGGAAAGCCGCGGTAACAAGTACAACTTCCGGGTCACTTGGCGGCGGGGAGAGGGGGCGTGGCTAGAGAAGGGGCGCGGTGAGGCTGTGACATCAAGAGGTACGCCCAAGGAGAAGCTGGCAGGCCTCGGGGGCGGGGCCTAGGCGGGCTGCGGCTGCGCAGTCGGGATGGGCGCGCGTAGGCTCGCTTTTCTCGCACCCCGGTACTGTGGGCTTTGGCGTATCTCCGGGAGAAAAAAGCGGTACGGGATTTTCTGCCCCCGTCTGTCCTCCCAGAAAAACCAGAACCCATCCCGTAACTGGATGGGAGCAGGATCCCGGAGAGAAGACGCTCTATTTTCCCCATTCATGAGTTCCATCTGCAGTTACCGCTACGCCTGCCTGGCGGGCCAGAAGCTCGATTTACCCATTCGGAAAGTCCCAAGAACGTCCCCTCTAACCTGCTAACAGTGGCTTCAGCAAGGGGTCGGAGGAAGCAGTTTTGGGGCTGGAGCAGAGGTTTTGAATTCACATCTGGAACCCAGGCCTCTGCGTCCTTTAGCTGCAGGGTGGGCGCTGTACCTGCAGGTCTCCCGCCTGCCCTCAAGGGCAGGAGGTGAGGGTGTACAGGCTTCTGACTCCCATGTCTTATCAGAAAGCAGAATCCTTTCGGGAACCCCCGGTGCCTTTCTGCTTCTTACAAGAATGAGACTCATGATGGGGTGGTATAACAAACCCCTGCCTAAAGCAAATGGGATCGTCACGTACCTTAGCCTAAGGACTTTTTGGTTTTGGCCTAGGTTAGGCACATTGGCTGCTTCATCAATAAAGGAGGGGGAGGGTCTTGTTAACAAGGAAGAGGGGGTTTGTGACACAAATACTTAAAACACGATCTGACTGTTCTTGGTAGGGGTAGCAAGAAAGTGAACCGGCTTTGTTTCAGTCCTTTTCTGGGTGACAATCCCTGAGGGACCAGAGCGGGACTTCCTTGAAAACATCAACCTGGGCTGAGCTCCAGGAAGCTCTAGTAGAAGTTCCCAAGAAGAGCCACTCAAACACTGGTGACAGCAGAGGGGCCTGGTGAAGAAGGTGCTGAAAGGAGAAAAAGTGTCCCGTGGTTCTGCGTGAGAGCCCTGGGCCTGTGAGGTCCCTGATGGGGCTGTTGTTGTGCCCCCCGGGAAATGGGGCCTGGGTGAGGGGACAAATAGGCAGAGAGCAGAGGAATGGGAGAATGAAAGCCAGCGGTTCCTAATGATGTCACATGGAATGGCAATTTAGGAGAAAGCCTTAGTGATGGACAGCATCACATTAGGAAGGTACTGTCACACAATCTATGATCTACTTCATGGGAGAAATCAATGTGATTTCATGACTTTGAAAGAAATACAGTTGTGAGTCACTTCATAACAGAGTATGTTCTAAGAGATGTGTTAAGCGATGAAATTCATGGCTGTGTGAACATCACAGGATTCACTTAAATCCACATGCTTTACTACACACAGGCTGTATAGTAAATGCCACTGACTATGCGGTACATCCATGATGAACCACCTATGTGGCACATGGCTGTGTTGTTTTCAGATCTATCATGGCAGAATAACCTAGTAATGGGAACAGAAGCAGCACTTTTTTTGTTTTCAAAAAAAAATTTTTTTTTCTGAGGCAGGGTCTCATGTAGTTCAGGCTGGCCTTGAACTCACTATGTAGGCCAGGCTGGCCTTGAACTTATGGCGATCCTCCTGTCTCAGCCTCTGGAGTGAGGCAGCATTTTTACCAATACCAGTTCTCATTCTCAGTCTAGGCACCCCGGATTTTAATCTCTACTGGTTTTTTGTTTGTTTTTAACTAAAAGGAATTATGCTTGAAAGGGAGTTGGTTCTATGCTTTGGGGCAGGAAAGAAAAAAATCAAGATGGACCATGATCCTGATGTTCCAGGAAGAAATCTGCTATCTGGTTCAGATACTGATGGGAAATGCTTGAAGGATAAAGGAACAAGCTCACACTTCCAGGTTGTGCTGATTTGGGCATGAAATAATAACATGGTTAATGAGAAAAGCTGAGTTTATAAAAGGCCATGAGTTCATGGTTAAAGCATAAAATAATTTTTAAAAAGCAATTTATAAAAGTGAAAATGGGAAGAAATGGAAACAGCTTTTGTACATAGGAAAGGGAGCAGTGTAAGGGGGGATGGGATAAAAAATTTATTAATGAAAAATAAAATATAAAAAGTAATTTAAAAAGGAGTGAGTATAGTACATATGCCTAAAAGTGCTCAGGCAAGGCCAGGTGTGGTGGTGCATGCCTATAATCCCAGCACTGGGGAGGCTGAGGCAGGAGGATTGCTATGAGTTTGAGGCCAGCCTGGGTTAAATACTGAGTTCAAGGCCAACCTGAACTGCATCATGAGACCCTGCTTCTCAAAAACCGAGTGCTCAGGCAAAAATCCTACAATTTTTTTTTTCCAATGAACTTTTTCTCCAGAAAATGAAAGTTATTTATTTGTATAGTATGAAGTTCATGTGAGTCTGTCCAAAAAGCCACTAATGGCATTTATATGGAGGATCCAAACTAGTTATTTCTCTAGGGTGTTAGTGCCTAACTCTGAGACCTTCAGGCTGTATGTACCCAAGAAAACAGAAGCTGAAGAAATTTTGTGCCACATGCTCAAAATTATCAGAACAAGAAGAGTGCAGAAATGTCATGTTTAGAACTAATAGTTGGCCATTTCACCACGTTACATGTATAAACAAATTTTAAAATTATTTAATGAACTTTAGTTGTCACTAGAGGCAGAAGATGCTAAATTTTAATTGGGTTAGCTTTAAATATCTTAAGCTTAGTGAATGTACTCCAGAGTTCACATTTCAGTTGTATGTTTTTGAGCCAAGACTTTATAATTTTCCAAATAGAAAGGTCATGGTTTCTCTAGGACAGCATTGCAAAATAGCCTTTTAATGAGCAAAGTTTAACAAATCAAAAGTTTAGGGATTAAACTTCCCTTATATGTGGGCTAAGAGAAATGTTGCACAATAAGAATTTTCTGAGTTTATCCAAATTCTGAACATGTGTAAGATTTAGGCAGAGCTAAATTGAATTAGTAGTGTGTTGTACTCCACCCTCTTTTATTGGCTTCCAGTTAGAAAATCTTACCACAAGAAATATGCTATGTTCTTTGAAAAATCTTGTTCTACTTAGGAGTCTGATACAAAGACAATTAAAAAACAAATTATTTTACAGAAAAAATTGAATAAACCTTTGAATTTAAAAAAATTAAAAAATAGTGAATCCAGTTTCACAAGGACTTTGTTTTTAAAATTTCTAGTTCCTTCAAAGAGTAAAAGTTGCTAGTTCATGCAAATATTTGACTTATCTTTTCCCATGGAACAGAGCAATTGCGGGAATAATAAAAGTCCCTTTGGATACACTCATATAGCACCCTCTTATGCTGTTCCAGACTAAGTCCCAGCCACAGAACTGAGAACTATTCATTTCATAGAGGAAAGGGTGGAAGCATAGAGCTAAAGGATTGGAGCAATGAAAGGATGGTGGCTGCCTTGGACCAATGCTTTCGGAAGGGGAGATGCAGCTGAGTCTCATCAGGGGGCAGATGTCCTGCTCATACCTTGCACACAGACACACTTTCCCTGCCCACAGCACGGATACCAAGTGTCTCACAGGATTTCAGCCTGGGTAAGTTTAATTATAAGCAGCAAAAGGATGCTTTAGGGCAGAATGTCTTGGTCATCTCCATAGATAACCTGTAAGGTTGAGATGTTTCCATGAACTATTTTTCTATTTTTATTTTGCTGTCAAGCCAGGGATGTAGCTCAGTGGTGCCATGCCTGCCTGGCAAGGTTCTAAGTTCGATTCCTGGTACCGGAAAAAAATAAAAAGAAAAACAAAGTTATTTTGCTGTCAATTCTATGGTGAAACGTTTTTCTGACCCAAACTTGAATGATCAGAAATTGGACAGGCTGGTGTTTTTATACCATTACCTGATTTAGCGTACTGTTTGTCTCCGCTGTACTACAATTCTGATCTGGAATGTACCCAAAGGCTTGATCCCCAGCTGTGGTGCTATCACAAGACTGTGGAACCTTGGGAGTGGGACCCTTGTCAGAGGAAGTGATGCCACCGAGGGTGTGGCCTGAAGGGGCTCTTTGAATTCTGGCTCCTCCCCTTCCTTTCTTTGTTTCCAGGCTGCCATGGCCTGCTGAAATTTGGTACGTACAATGCCACCGTGAGCCCAAAGCAACAGGATCTAGAGGTCATGGCCTGAAACTTTGACAGGGTGATCCAAAATAAACCGTTCCTCGCTTTTATATTTTTTTTATTGTGTGGTACTCAGGATTGAACCCAGAGCCTCAAATGCTAGGAAAGCACTCTTAACCACTGAGATACACCATGCCCTCCCCTTTTGTTTTGAGTCAGGATCTCACTAAGTTGCCAGGCTGGCGTTGGACTTGTTATCCTTTTGCCTCAGTCTCCTGAGTACCTGAGATTACATGTGTGTACTACCATGCCTGGCTTTTATTTTTAAATTTTCAGTGCTGGGAAACACTTGGAAGGCAAGTGATCTACCATGCAGTTCAGTCCCCAATGCCAACCTTCTTTGATTATCTGTTATTTTGTCACCATAATGGAAAGATAACACATTTCCAAGTTTTTGATTATCCTTGAAACATCTTGAAGTAAAAGTTTCCCAGTTGAAATATGCATGCATGGATGTATAACAGAGGACAGATGAAATTGTACAAACTTGTTAATTTATTACAAAATGTCCACTCACAGAAAAACACAAGAAAACTTTGTATTTTTATATTTGGGAAAAGAACTGGCGCCTCAAATACAAAATAATTTACACATAATCCATACAATTTTATTTTATATAGAAATAGGTCATTATTACAACAGCTGTACAATTCACTACACTTCATCTTATAATTACATAAAATCTTTTCTTTAGAAACATCCCAACATAACAAAACATACAAAAAAGCAAAGTGCATTTGAAAAGGAAAAACCCAATCCTTGGAATCATCATGAATAAGTCCAGACACAGCATCCTCGCTCAAGGGGGACCCTGGGGTCTGTACGCCTGGGGTGGGTACCTGGCCTGGGAAACCTCTCCCTCTTAAGAGTTCTCTACAGAATTCTGAACCAGGTGCTGCAAGACTGTGCTTTGCTTGGAGTCCACCTTTATAGTTGCAATCAACAAAGTAAACAGGAAATCATCCAGTGTTATATGTAGAGGGAATCACCAGGTAGGGAATGGGCTGAAGAGCTTCATTCCATTAGGGTTGGGGTCTGCAGAGGGAATAGGTCTACGGCTTGGTTAAAACAACAAGCCTTGGCATCTGATTGGTGAGCTGTTTTTGTTGCTGTGGGCTCCAAATAAAGTCATGAGACATTATTATTATTATTATTATTATTTTTTTTTGTGTGTGTGGTACTGGGAATTAAATGCAGGACATTGCACTTGCCAGGGAGGTGCACTGCCACTGAGCCAAATCCCCAAGCCCCTAGACCTTATTATTTTTAAGAACAGAAAATGCCTAAGTTATTTCCTCGGTGCAGCTGTGCAAATTAAAACAAAACAAAAACAACCATTTAAAAATAATGAAAAATAATCTCTTTATTCTCTCTCTGCAACAGATTTTGGACCCTGTCCTTCTCCAATGCAAAGGAAAAACAATCGAGAGAGTGAAGGCTGGCTAGAGCATGGGGACAGAGCCACTCTATGGAGTAACCGGTGCACTCTCCAGGGAGGTGGCCAGGGTGCTACCACTGCAGGTAAACTGAGTCATGCCACCTACCAGGGCACTCAGTTCTGTCCAGTATGGCTGTAGAGGGTGCCCAAGGACCTTGCAGCATGGGAAATATGGCCTTGCACTGTGCATCCAGGAGCTCTGAAATGTACGCAGGTGCCTGGAAGGCAGAGCTTTCGCTCAGACCCCTCTCCCTGTCTCCTGTCACCACCCCTCATCCACTGGTTAAAGCTGATCATGTCCGAATCCAATGCCAGGGCACTACCCAGGTGGCTGCTGGAGGCCTGACGACTCTGACAGACGGCTGACCCTGCGGGATGGGCGCGTGGGCTGGGGCTGTGCAGAAGACGGCGGGGCATAGCCAAGGGTTCCTGGCTGTTGGGAGTAGGTGGAGAGGAGCAGTGAGTCCGGCTGCTCACTGTGCAGAGAGGTTGGTGCCTGTGCCAGGAGAGAAAAAAGAGAAAAGCTTTAGAATAGGCTGTGACTGGTCAGTCCCTCAGTTGCCTTCAGAGGCTCTGCATTGCCCTGGGCATGGCAGGGGCTGGGGCAGGCTCAGATTGCAGGGCTGCCCTCCTTGGATGTCTCATGGGGAAAAATGGCTCCAGATGCATCTAGGAGGCCACGAATGGAGGCGAATGCAGCTTTGGCTCTCCTGGTGGAGGAGACTTCTGAAGCCAAGCTCTTTGCCAACACTGTGGGTTCCTTCAGGCCCAGTGTGCCTGGGGCTAAGGCTGCAGGTTGGTGTCTTGTGTGTGTTCACATCTACATGTGGCCTGTGTGGCTTTGGATGAGGGAGCCTGAGGCCCCATGCAGATGGCCAACAGGGCAGAATCTACACACACGTAAGGTGTGATGTAAATGTACGGTGAATACTTATATAAAAAAATGATTACAGTAGAAGACACAGTGCCATGAATCCTCTCAGAATCCTTCTCCTTGCTTTAAACACACTTATCCTACAGTTCTTGCCACTTTCTGAAGCAGTTCTGGAGTCCTCTTTCATGAGTGTCTTTATGAGGTGAGATTAAAAAATACAGTGAATTCTGCTGCCCAGCACCATCCAATGGAAAGGCAGCTTAAAAAACATGGTGCTGTGTAATCATCCACCAGAACTGTGTGACTTCTGGATCTCCCCTAAAGTCAAATTGACAACGAAAAGTAAATGTTTTGAATGGATTCGGGACATCAAGGCAGCTACAACAGCACAACTAGACAGATGCCTCCAAGGCCTCTTCTTCTGTCCTGGTCCTGAGAGAGCTCTCCACCCCAGACCCCTCTCCCCAGTGCTCCCCAGAGTCTGGCTGTACACTGTGGTCCCCACGGCCCCCACCCTGAGGTCCTAAGTGCAGCAAGCAGGTCCAGAGCACTGAATCTTCGCCTGGCATCTGCACGACTCTTCTCCTCATCCACCCCAAGTTCTCGCTGTGCCCCAGGACTGGCAGATCTGCAAAGCCAAAGCCTGAGCTGACACCCGTCAGGAGATCAGAGAATCACTGAACAGGTGGTCACAGCTTTGGAGGGAACTTACATCCCACACCTGCAAGGGTGATGCTCTCTGTGTCCCATAGTCCTCAAGATGTCCCTGCCACTGGACACTGTCCTCTGGCCTGGATGGAGCAGGAAGTCCTGGGGACATGCTGATGGGGCGGCTGGAGCCCTCTGGCATCATCAGTGGGTGTGTGGCTCCCATCTGAACCTAGAACTGGGGGGCCCCACCCTCCTTCCTTCCAATGTATTTGACACTTTTGTGAAATAATTTTTGCCTGGTAAATAGTAAACATATCCCAGATTTCCAGGCAAGCTCCAACTTCATACAACATTATATTTATTAAGGCAATTTGGTGAGTATTTAAATGTGATTTAACTTCATATTCATGTAAGGCTTTATTTTTTGTTATTTATTTTTGTTTTTTTGAGACAGGGTCTCACTATATAGTTCACTGGCCTTGAACTCACCATGTAGCCCAGGCTGGCCTTGAAATTGCAGTGATTCTTCTGATTCAGCTTCCCAAGTGCTGGGATTTATAGGTGTGTGCCACCACGGCTGGCCCTTGTTTTTCATTTTTGAGACAGAGTCTCACTTAGTTGCCCAGGCCAATCTCGACGCCAATCTCAATCTCTTTTTGTTGTTGTTTTTTTTGAGACAGGGTCTTGCTATATAGTTCAGGCTAGCTTTAAACTCACTAGGTAGCCCAGGCTGGCCTAGAACTGGTGGTGATCCTCCTGCCTTAGCCTTCCAAGTGCTCAGATTACAGGTGTGTGCCACCATGCTCAGCTCAGCCTTGAACCTGTGATTCTCCTACTATGGCCTCTCAAGTAGCTGGGATTGCAGGTGTGAACCTGGCTGTGTAGGACTTTATGCATTTCCAAAAAGGCCAGCAACAACAGTCACTAAGGTCTGTTTCTGCTCTAATAAGCATATCAAGGTACAAGGTCAGGAAAAATTACTTTCTCCAAAGGATGCACAGGACCACATGAGGCATAACAACTGCTCCTTCATTTCTCATACTCCATATGCACATATTTAAAAGCCTTAGGCATTAGAAGGAATCAAACACAGGATAGAATCTGTACCCAGGGCAAAGCGACCTGGGGCTTTCAGAGGTGGCGGAGCATCTTGGCCTTGGTCCACAGGCCGGCTGCTCCCCTGGGCCCGGGTGCCCACCTGCAGGTAGTTCAGCTGCAACTGCTGGGCCGGCTGGGAGGCGGGGAAGCTGGGGTGCAGCACCGTCTGCCCCATCAGCAGGACAGGGGTCACAGCGCTGCTGCTGGCCGGGTGTGAGTCTGGACTTGGAAACTCGGCCTGGCTCGGTGCGAACCTGCTCCTTTCACAAGGGGAGGAGAAAACAGACTCTTTAAGAAAGAGGCATTGATAGGACACCAAAAGCACATGAAAAAAATAGGTAAAGCTGCATTGAAAACTTTGTACATCAAGGATGCTGTTCACAGAGGGGAAGAGTAGTCCATGGGGTGGGAGGAAACATTTACAAATCCTGTGTCTGAAGAGAGACAGATGCTCAGGATGTATCAAGGATTCTTCCAGCTCCGTCACCCCCACAGCCACCAACAAGTAACATCCACAGCTCAGCCAGAGCAACTGGAGAGGGCTTGAGTGACACTTTCCCAAAGAGAAGATCTGGGTGCCAGAGGGCACTTGCTACAAAGGTCCACATCAGAGGTCAACAGGGAAAAGCAAATCAGGGCCAAAGGAGCTGCCATTTCATATCCATTATCATGACCATTATGTAAAAAACAAAACAAAACAAAATAGAACTGGGTGTGGTACCGCAGGCTTATAATCCCAGCACTCTGAGAGGCTGAGGCAGGAGGATGGAAAGTTAGCCTAGCCTGGGGAATTTAGGGACTTGGCAAGACCCTGTTTTAAAATTAAAAAAATAAAGGTCTGGGAAAGTAGCTTAGTACAGTGGCTCTGGGCTCAATCTGTACTACCACAAAAACAAACAAAGGCAGTAGGAAAAGGATGATAAGGATATGGAGACCTGGGGTTCCTGTGCACTGGTGCTGAGAATGTAAAATGGTGTGAGACAATATGAAGAGTTCTCAAAAAATTAAACCTAGAATGACATTATGATCCAGCAGTTCACCTTCCAGCATGCACCCAAAGGAAGTGGAAGCAGGTACCTGAGGAGGCGTTTACACACACACACACACACACACACACACACACACACACACACACACATGGAGACCCTATTCACAATAATGCTGAAAGGCATAAACCACCCAAGTGTGCACTGATGGAGGAATGGATAAAAAATGGGATGCATCCACACAGTGGAATACTATGCAGCTTTAAAAGAGGAGGGACTCTGACTTGTGCTACAGTAGCAGTGAGGTTGGAAGATTTATGCTAAGTGAAATAAACCAGTCACCAAAGGACAGATACTCTATGTGGTACCAAAACAGAATCAGAGAGATAGAAAGTGGACAGCTAGTGTTTAATGGGCACAGAGTTGCAGTCTTGGAAGAACAGAAAGTTCTGGAGAGAATGGTAGTGATAGTTACACAACAGTGTGAATATGCTTGGTGCCACTCAGTTATATACTTCAAATAGTTAAGATGATAAATACTGCACTAGGTATATTTTAACACACACACACACACACACACACACACACACACACACACAC